TATATATATTAATAATTTGAATACAAGTAATCATCAAAAAGGATAAACTACTATGAATTTAGAATTTAGCAATACCACCTAGAAAAGAGAAGGTTTCCCCACAGATCAATTTAGTAGTCCGACGTAACGAACCTAAACTGCGCTGTGTAGAAAATTAGGAAAGATTTAACTGTGTTCTGATTACTAATCTGCGCAGTGGGGGTTATTGATATCATTATGTTTGCACTAATAAAATATCAAATTTCTTTTTTATGGTAACCAGTTCTGAGATTATCTCTCGTCTAGGAGGTATTCGCTTAATAGACAACCTCGTTAATCTGTAATATTATAATACCGCGCGCTTGGTTTAACTCATTGCTTAAGACAGCTGTCTGTCCAGACAGTTTGTGAAAGGTCCGTTTTTGTAAAATTGTGAAAAAATTACTTGTAATTAGTGAATTTAAAATAAACGTTAAGTCACATTTTTTTCATCCAGGGTCCTGCTGTTGTGAATTTGTGCAAATAAGGTCCTGTTATTGCAAAAAACTTTTTCAAGGAGTTTTTAAAATGTAAAGATATACAAGATTAAGCTCAGCACTGTAAATTATAATAAAATTTTTTTGAAGAGATAAACAGCAATTGCTGCAACTAAATTAGAGATGCAACATACAAATATTTGGTATTTCGCCTATACTGCTGAACACAGAATATTCATTTCGAACGAATAAAAGAAGAAGCAACTAACAAAGACAAAACTTAGTTCGTTTACATCTGTCTTTCTCCCCCCCCCTTTCCCGGGAAGGGTTTATTTGATTAACAAAACACTAATGAAGTTAAACAAATTTGTGAAGGGTCCGATTAAGAGATCAATTATTTTGTGAAGGGTCCGTTTTTAAGTTAAAATAATTTGTGAAGGGTCCGTTTTTATGAAAAGATATTTTGTGAAGGGTCCGTTAACGAACCCAAATTTCTTCTAAACAGACCCCTGTAAGAGGAGTATATTGTTGGTAGGCATGAAGATTTCCATAAATCTTAGGTCATCAGACGGAATTTCAAATAATTTGAGTTTTGCTTGTTCAGAATTCAGTTACAAACTTTTGATTTTCGGTGTAAAATAAACACAGGTAGACTATTTACTCTTTATGCTCTGAACGGACAAGTCCCGCTTAAATTATATCTAAAAAACAATGGAACGGAACAAAATATCCCATCGGGACTTGTTGTTTGTCCATATAATATGACTCTTCGTTGATCAATATTGGTTAACAGCAGGATTATTTGAAGTTTAACATCACCTATAGAAGTATTTATCTGTTCATATTTCGTTCCAGAACGCCAATTTATGAGATTTTGCTTTTGTTCGATTATCTTATTTCTCTCTCAATCAAATTTGCAAGTAAGTCTACCATATTTTTTATTGATTTAATAAAAACTTCAGCTAGTTCTAAAGCAAACTATTGAAAGTTTAACTTTAATCAAAAATTTATAACTTGTCCATCCTGTCTTGGGACTTTAAAATTTCCGACTGTATTTATATTCATACAATCAATAGTTATACCGAGGATAGTGTTAACTATTTTAAGCGGTTTTGCTACATTTATCAGAACGTTTTCTCATGATTTGACTTCTTTACTAAAATAGACTAATTTTTTTTGCATTTATGGTATAATTTCTGCTCTTAAAGTATCTTTAGTTATTTTTGATATTCCAATGGAACTTTAAGTCTCAAAATAAAAAAAATACTAAAAGATTGGAAAATTTATTAAATAATAAAATATTTTGTCAAAGTTAAAAAAAAAACTCATAACTATTAAGGAAAAAGGAATTTTTGAGCATAATTTATATATGTTTAATAATTTGGTAAATAGAGTTTTTTTTACTCATAAAACAGATTTTTTTTAAAAACAAAAATGCTGAAAATAACGTTTCTCTGCTGACTTATGAATAAAATATTGCCAGAACCTAAGAAAAAGAGCAATAAAATCAGGCTTATGAGTATACCAGATATTTTATAAATGATTTGAGAACATCTGTAAGAATCTATATATCTCTAGTTTTTGTGTCGTTTTCCTTCATTAATCAATTAATTTTGATAGTATTCTGCAAACATCAACTATTTCTTAATGAGAACATCTAAAACATTTGTTATTCTCATTTATCAAGTAAATTGACATAATAAGTCCGATGTTATTTAGATAAGAATTTTAAGAACGAAAAGGTGCTTAAAGTGTTAAATGTCTAGAATTATAACTGGTTTCCATGCATTCTAAATACTAAATAAGAGCGCATATGTTTTTAAAGGAAAAAAAAAAGACGAAAAAATAACCAACAAGCAACCATTAGACAACCATTTCCATAACATATATTCTCGTCTATATCAGTATACTTCAAATATTACATTATTTAAAAAATAATGAAACCCGATATATTACTTTGAATTTACTTGGATAATATATCATCTTTAAGATTCGGAGAAACTTTTCCAATTAAAAACCAGTAATAGAACAGATAAAAAATCATTCACAGCTTTTCTAACTTTTTTTTAATGTATCAATGCAGTCAGCTAATTACATTAATTAAATCTTTCAATCACAGCACCACGCAAATGTATTAAATTACTTTGTAAATTATGCACACATCTAAGTAAAATTATTTCTCTGTTGAATACTGAAAATTTTATGATATTGTTTCTAAAATGATCTATTTAAAGTAGGCTTAATCCGTCAGTCGAAAAACCTTCCAAATGCCAGGAAAATCTTCGTGTATTCTGAAGTAAAATATAAAAGTTTATAGTCTAGACAGTGTGATCCTTACGTTTAATAAACTTAGACAAGTTGTTTCAATCCCTTGTATCTATAATATGTACAAGTGATGCATGAGCATCTGGTGCAGTTATTTGGTGCAAATCAGAAACATCTTGTGCCTTGGTTCATTGGGAGATTCCGCAAGCTTTTAATAAAAATTCTATTCAGTTTTGATGTGTGACCAAAAGATTATTAAGCTAGTTCCTTAAAAAGATAATATTATGCTTTCAAAATACTTAAGTAATTTTCTAAATAGCTGTTGTATAATTTTTAAATTGCGCACAGATTAAATAATATGGTCAAAACTACCTTAATATAGTAAAAATTACCGTTTTCCCCTCACTATGGAAACATTAAGAAGCTTGTTGATTTTCCACAAGTATCTTGGTATTGATTTTGGAAGAATTAACAATAAAATATGATTTAATAATATGTGATAAATTTTGGTAAATATTATAAAATTTTGTCATTTTATCGTGATATTTGTATTAAGCATGGCATAAAAATCATTTTCTCAGGAAAATTTACTTTTCAGTTTTACAGTTTTTATTAAATATATGGTAGTAAGAACAATAATTTTGAAAACCTGAATTTGTGGTAAAGAGTTACCATATGAAAAGAAAAATTATCATATAAATGGTTTTAATACCGTATATTTTAACTTTATTAACCAGAATAATGGTTTGTTTACCATATATTGCTTGAATTTTTAAGTTCACGTTGAAAAAAATATTACTCTAAATAAGCTATATTTCATGCAGTTCGAAAAATATTATTAACATTAATAGTTTCTTCATAACGTTGGAATTTACTGCTAAGTAGTTGGTAGTTAATAGCTTAGTATTTAAATTGTAATATAATTTAATATTGAACATACTGGTAATGGAATATACAAATATCATTTTATTTTCTCAAAATTATAAATTAATTATAGAAATTAGTACTCATAATTAACGTTTTAAAAACAGTGAATTTTTCTTAAATGCTGTTGAAAAATGATATTATTAAATCATTGCCAAATCGATTTTCAGCTTTATCGTCATTAAACGTGGAAGTCATAGATTTCGTGCTTGTGGGAAGATTGTTATCACGATATTCCCAGAGGCTTACTATGGGTTTGAAAATGACGTCTGAGGTATCTATGTTAAATCTGCCTAAGGTCCTGTAGATATATCATAGTCTTCAATAGAATTGGAAGAGAATATTACTGTTTGTATAAATTTGGGATACAAGGAAAGTTGTTCATACAAAAGGCATTTTTAGAACTTCATGATTATGAATTAGTAGAAAATATACTTATTTATGATGTATCTAAGTTAAAATAAAATTAAATTATTAATTTTTGTACAACTTAAACATTGTAAATAATCCTGGATGAAAATAATGGTATAAAGTACAGACACACAGATAATCCGGTACAGAACAAAAAATGTGATGAACCGCAATTCTTACCATAATAATTACCGTATATTCTGAAACCGTCAACTCTAATTAAATAAATATTTTGTAAAAATTACAATATAATAGTTTACGATAAAAATGGATTTCAATGATGATGCAGCCAAAATGTTGTTACTTTATAAAGTAATTTGATAAGGAATTATTTTCAGTGAAGCTTAATTCATCGTTTTCCAACTTTGTGTGAAAGTATGGAAATTAAGAGCTTATTAAACTCAAAAACAAAACTCTTGGCGCGTTTTAAAGTATTTTGCCTCATCTCTATTAAGTTGTTTTTTTCATTTTGCTAATTGCATTTTAATTGTTTGCAAATTTAAGGCCGATCACTTAACGAACTCTTAGCAAAGGAATTTTGAATAAATTAAGTTACAAANATACTAATTTGTTGATTTATATGTATGTATATACATATATATATATATATATATATATATATATATATATATATGTGTGTGTGTGTGTGTATATATATATGAGAACTTTTGAAATTTTACAATCTAAATTCAAAATCACTTGAAGTGCATGGAGATTTTATCAAAAAATATTAGGGAAAAATAAAATAAATCGAAAATAACTTCCATCATCTGCTTGATTAGAATATATGCTAATTAAAGATTTTTAACAATGTATTGATTATGAAATCGTTGCTTTTTTATTTGGAGTAATCCAAACGAGAAGTAATCTGACTTAATCTCTATTTTTTTTCAAAATAAATCTTGCATTTCCATCTATGCATCTAAGCATGTTTTGCTATATCTAAGATATCCATTAAAAACTTTATATAAAAATTAAGTTTGTAATTTTTTACTTGTATTTGTGTATTTCTTTTGATATATTTCTGATCTGACAACAACAAAAAAATTCCCACTTTAAAATTTATTTTCATTAAAAACTTTGTTCTTTCTTGATTGGAATTAAATCGAAAATATAGGGTTTATACAATGCTTAAGTATGGAACACTTAAAATAAATCGTTTCAATTGAAATCAATTGATTAAAAATTGTTAGAGCTTTATATTTCTTTGATTTTGTTTTTAATACAATGAAAAGATAATTTATAGTGAAAATTAAAATTTTTGCCTGTATATTCAGCTCTGTAAATATAGATGTTGGCATCCTATATGATGCCTATTCATTTTATAGAATACATGTCACTGTTAAGAAAAGTATGAAACGTGAGTATTATTATATTCCTCGACTAATCAATTTATACAATGTTTGTAGGTTTTTGGCTAATCACTCGACAGAATAACAAGAAGGGAGTAAAATATTCACTCAAAAATATAATCTGTCGGGCAATTTTAGGAATTATCTTGCGTGACGATTTTCAATTTTCAACAGTAGTAAAAACTCCTTATATTAAAACCTCGTTACTTGTTAAGGGTAAGAAGTTCTTTAACTTAAAGTTTGTTTGGAAATATTTTTTTTTCTTTACCATAACCATAGTTTTTTACAATGATACCAAACTATCTTACAATCAAAATAAATTAATGTTTCTATTTCTTTATGATTTCTGCAAGACTGGCATTTTGAATGTTGATATATTTAAATGAACATATTAACTTATTTCTTGATTGTTTTCGTTTTTGACGATAATATTCTCTAATTTTTCAAAATTATTTCCTATCTTTGTATAGCTGAGTTATTGTATTTTAACCACCTTAGATGAAAATTTCCTTATTTTTCTTCGTAATAAACAATCAACTTTTATTTAGGGTGTGCTATTACAGCAACTTGATAAATACATTTAATTGGAGATTTGCTTTTGGTAGGAACTTTTGAAATGTTTATGATACAAATATTGCCAGGTGGACTTTATCAGTCGAAATTGATAGAAACATAAATAAATCTTGTATTCTGAGTCTAGAGAATTGTAGTAATTATGTAAATTAAACAAAAGGTAAAATATATTAATAAAAGTGGCAAATAGCATATTTCTTTTGTAAAACAAGATAATTTTATATAGCAACCATTTTCAGGAAAAATTTAACTCAATGCAAAAAAATAAATTTGTAGGTAACAGCATGTAAATTTTTTAACTGAAATTTATCAACTTGTTTACAGTTCTATTTTTTTCAAGATCTAAACTGAACATATATTTGCACTAAGTTATGTATTTTTGAAGAAAAAAATGAGTAATTTTTAAATAAATGCATGGTAGTGATGGGAATTTTCTGACTGTGAAAAAATTTTTGTAACTTAAAAGAGAAGATACTAGTTTGTTATTTTGGTAATCAATATTTTAGAATTAAACTGAAAAATTATGTTTCTTGAGACACTAAACAGAATCCAAGCACATGTTTAGTAAAATAATTTTAGCAGTTTTTACTTTAATCAAATGAAAAATAGAAAATAAAAAAAAGTATCTAATATTAATTTCTTTAAGTATTCTGGAATATATTTTTAGAATATGTTTTAGAATATATTTTCAGAATATATTTTTAGAATATATTTTTAGATATATTTTTAGATATATTTTTAGAATATATTTTTAGAATATATTTTTAGAATATATATTAATTTCCCTCAATGGAATATTCGCAGATTAAAATTAAACTCTAAAATTGTATTATCATTCATTTATTTATTTTAAGCAAGATTTAAATTATAAAGAAAGTCATTAACATGTTGTCATTCAATGAGAACCCTTGATGTATTTTTTTCAGAATCCATAGCAAATAAAGTACTACAAAACTATCGGCAATAGGGGCAACAGATGAATATTTGAGCGAGATAAAGAGAAAATTGTTTTCACAAATTTACCATTTCCTTAAGTTGGGAAAGGGGATTTTTAAAAAACACCTGATAGTAAACAATTAAACAATTTCGGATGTTTTTTAATATCAGTAGAACTTCTAAAATAAAAATTTCTAATTTCAAAATCTTATTTGATTTTTAGAAGAAAGTTAGAGGTGATTTTTAGAAACATCTCTAACCAGACAATTGTCAGTTGTTGTCACAGTTATGAGTCACTTACCATTTCTCATTCTTTTTCAAATTTCATGAAAAAACGGGAAAGAATTACTGTTCGCAAAGTAACTTAAAACAAATGCCCCTCCTCCCTTCTAAATTAAAAGCGGAAAAGTCTGTTTCTGAAGCAGTTTTGCAATTCAATCGCTCCTGGATTACTAAAGACATCTCTTAGAAACACTTTAAAGGAAAAAATGTGAAAAGGTGGGCAAATTAATAAGAAAATACACTGACCGAGCAAATTAAGAAGTCAGGGCATGATAGCCCACTGGATAGGGATTTGAACTCCGGTCCCGAAGAGGCGGGGTTTGATCCTAGACAGCGACATATGGTATATGGACTGCGACATATGGACTGCGATGTATGGCGATATACATGTATATTTCTCCCAATACTTGATCTAGAAGTTCCCTTGTTTTCCCGATTGGATTTAAAATTACAAGACTACGGAGTTGAATATTAGTTGCCGTAAACTTAAAATTGGATCAGCTGTTTAACAATGGTTATAAAATGAAAAAAACAGATATACACGTGAGTTCATGCAATATGTACGTGCTCCTAGAATTCAGGAAATTGGTTGCTGAACAGTACCATGGATACAAGGATCTAAACATCAAAAGTTCTAAAGAAAATTTCCATCCCCTTCGTATCTATGTCTAAATTGAGAAAGTGGCCCAATGAATGAGTTGTGCTACCATTCATTAGCAGACTTCTAAACTAAGACGTAGTATCATTCTTGTGGCGCTTCCTTATCAACCTTCCTGACTTAATCCGCAAAATATTAATGACTAGCGAGAGCGTTACTTGTCCAAATGTCATTAGAAACAACAACAACCTTTTCACAGCATCTTAACTTTGTTCGGGCAAAATTATTAATTGGTTAGTGAAAATTGTTTCGAACTTTGTTAAAATTAATTTTTCAGTACGAAAAATAAATATGATATGGATGAAATTTGAAATACTATATAATTCACTCCTTATATAATTAAATTCAAATATTCCCTCTTTTTTGATTAATTGTAGGAAATTCTATGTCTTTTTTTTAATTTTTTATTTTTTTTTTGTACTCGGTATAGCATTGCGCCTAGAAAAAATGAATTGCAAATGTTTATCCGAGAAAAAAGAATATTATAGAATTCAGAGACTGTATCTATAATGCAAAAGAACATTAGGTTAATAGTATTTATAAAAATGTAATAGTGCATTAAAAATTTTTAAAGCTAGCAAGCAAGTGCGAGATATTCATGCTTTGATAATAAATGCAACATTCTAACTACGGATGCTTGTCTAACTTTTTTACTACTCTTACCTGAAGTTCCATCCACGCTTTGAATTTTTGCTGTCGAAGGCTCTTTAACTTGTTGAGGAACATGGATTTCTATGATTTGAAATTATATGTGTATGAGTATACCTCCAATACAGAAATATAACGAAAAAAAAATTTCTTAAATTTGCGATTAATAATTTTTTTTCTAAAAGCGAACAGGGTCTCAATGCTTTTTTTTTTAACTTCATTTATATTTTAGGAGGGTTATAAATGTTTATTTTCAAGAGTTCAGAATTAAGTACTTAAACTATCAAATCAGAATTGATTTCGGTTCTGATTGCTGATCTAGATAATAAACAGTTTCTTCATTATTCCATTGTTTGATAATTGCGGAAATATATTATTGGGGGAAATATTTGAGCCAAATGGCTCAATTATTAAAAAAAGTTTGAATCATTCTACTACATAACACTTATTGCACAATTTTTTTTATTCATGAAAAACATGGATAAAAACACAGAATGAAAAAGGGATGTAATTAGAAGACAGCATACGTATGTTTTAACTTTATTTGACTTAACAGTAATAAATGATCACTAGCAAAGGTTTAAAAAAGGAAGAATAAACCTATTTATAACTGAAAATAGAGAGAGATAACAGATATTGAGGACAAGATACATTTTATTCGGTAGATCAATAAAATTGTAGACTACTTCAGGGTAATTATTAGAAACACTACTTAGTAAAAAAACAAATAAATTATATTTTTGGTAATTAAATATATTTAATACAGAAAACTAATTAAAATTCAAAAATATATTTTATAATATAAAATATATTTCGTAAAATATATTTATATAAAACATATTTCAAAAAATGAAAAATGTAACAAAAAATGTGAAATGCAATAAGAAAATGCAAAATAATAATATAATCAAATATATTTCTGATTGAATAAATCGATTTTTGTTACATTTGTAGCATGGAATTGACTGGTGAGTTCACAAGAAAAATAAGTATTGTAAATTTTGAGCACTTGAAACGTATCGTTATATTTTAAATATTGTTCATTTGTGTAGTTTTAGTAGCTTATAGCTCCCACATCAAAAATATCAGTTCAATGTTAATTCCAAGAACCGTACTTTGATGACTATGTACCAAGCAAGCTTGAGTGAACCTTAATAAATTGTTTATTGAACTACCTTTTGTTTATACTTAATCATTTAACGATGCAATCATGGTTAAGAAAGAAGTATCTATACGCTAATATGGTGCAACTTTGAATCGTAGAAAGGTAGAAGCAAATTAAGAAGCTATTATGGTTCAGCACACTCCAAAATTACAACAGGGTAACTTAATCGGTACTTTCAAATTCATCAATTTCTTAAACAAAAGAAATAATACTATGAAAACAACAACTTTGATTGTAACTCAATTGCGACAAAAATTTTATCTCACCTGCTCTTTTTAAAAAGACTTAATAACATATCACATCATCCAGGAAACTTAAGGATATGTATTTCGTAATGAATGGCAAGAAAACTGCTTGAAATTGTTTTTTATGCAAGCTTTTTAAAAGAGAACTAATATTTAATCATTTAATACAATTAAATTAAATATTTAAAAAGTAAATCTTTTTTTTTTTAGTTTAAATTAAAGCTGACAGAAAATCAAAGTTTAAGTCATCATGTAATTAGAATCGTAAAATTAAAAAAGGACAGTTTCATTTCAAATGTAACTTTGTTTAATTACGATAGGAAAACTACCGTTTTCAGGTACTGTAATTTTCAAGGTACTGTAATTACTGCTTCCTTTAGTTTGGTGCTTCTCTCTTGCGTTAAAGCTTTTTAAGACAGACTTATATTACAGTAATATGCGAATAAGTTTTCTCGAGATCATAATGAATGAATGATGAATCTGCCAGTACAGGAGCTCTCAGTTGAATTACCACTGGAACTTGTATCTTAAGATCCTAGCTTTTTTTCATTTTTTAAAAAAAAAAATAAGTAGAAAAGTGTTTAGTTGTAGTTTAGTAGTGATTGTTTTAATTGTTTAATCTTCTTACCATTTAGCATCGCTGGCTACGGTGATATAGTATGATTACATATAAATGTAGTAAAATTTAACCTATTTTTGTTTATGGTGTAGTTTAATCGAATAGTTCAGAATAATGGAGTTTATTAGGCAAACAATTGGATTAAGCAGAAAAATGATTGTAATCAAAACAGCTAGAATATGGGAATATTTGTTAACTTTTTGACTCTATGGGAATACCAAAAATAGCGATAATTTTTAGAAGTGTTTTGGTATTAATGTTGTTAAATTAAGAATAAATAATTTCATAATAAGTTATAAAATTTGGTAAAGAATTTCATGATACCTTAGATAATGGCATAAAATCCATTAATTTGGTAAAATTTACGTTTAGTTTTATATTTTTATTAAATATATGGTAATAAAGGAACTAAAATTTTTAAATGCAAAATTTCTTGTAAACCATATGCAACGGAAAATTACCAAATGAATCTCTTAAGTACCACCGTGTATTCTGGTTTTAGTAACCAAAAATATGCTGCTGTTTTCTCAAATGCATTTATGTAAATACCTTAAATACTTTTCCATTTAATCATAAGAAAGAATGAAATGAAAAGTCACAGTACAGTTTTTTTCATAGCAAAGTTATTAAGAGTTTAAACTTATGATTCACTTACAAAATATTATACTTTAACTCATATTGTACTTTAACACAACAAATTACTATTTATATAAAGTGTATTTTACAATTTGTGTGCATGGATGCATTTAAAACCTTGTATAGATTTCTTGTTCAATTTAACATTTATTAAGTGCAATATAATATTGCCTTTGCTTTAGTAATATTTTTAGAAAAATTATTCGTTGTATAATTTTATTCGTCCCTGCTTCATGTTTGAAACCTCTTCTATCTAAGTTCAAGAGAAGTTTCTAAGTTAAATACATCATATTTTATTTAGAAAAAAAAAACTCCACCAATTGTTATAATTAATCCAAAAAACAGAAGATGCTTTTTGAATTCTTTTCATTTCACCGATAAACCTCTGATGTTCCTTTCCATTTTGTAAAACCTATGCTCAAAAATTTTAGTTTTTTTTTTTGCAATTCTTCCGAATTCAACAAACTTCCGTATTATATACTCCACTCTCACTGTTCAGAATTATTTTAATCCTTATCATTTAATCACTGCGCACTTAATTAAAAAAAAATTAGTCCTAATAAGCTAAAATTAGTCGTAAGTATTAAAAACTTATGTATTTTCAAGCAATTGTATCTTGTTTTTAATTTTTAGAATTGTTAGCTCCTGCGTCATAGTACAATGTGTAATGATATCATTGTCTAAGTCAATAAACTGTGTCAAAAACAATGAAACCTTTTCCCAAATCAGCTTTAATTAGCATTTTCGTTACATATTATTAAAACTGAGAAGCTGTTTGAAAAGTGGAACTTTAAAACCGCAATTCACGTTTAATATATACGATTTGAATTAGATTCGTAAAAATAGTTTCAAATTATTCTTGTATAATTTACATTTTATTCCCTTACAGCTATATAAACAAATTAAAAAACAGCATCCACCATAATTTGGTTTCGATTTTTATGTTATTTGAAGCTGAAATGTTTGAACTAAAGGTAGTTTTGAGGCATATTCTACAAATATTATAGATAGCTTAACATATTATACTACTATGATAATTTATTTAAAACTGTTTCATTCATGATTTAACTAAAATATATTTGTATATTTTTCATGAAATAAAAAAACTAAATAAAAATAATTTAAATATATTTAAAGTAACAAACTTTTAAAAGCAGAATATTTTATGTAATCATTTACTGGAATTAATCTGCTAAGCAGTTTAAAATTAGAAAAAAAAGTATTTTCTTGGTAAATATATTTCCTCAATGACTTAACGTTGCAATTCAAATTATTTCACATAATATTATTAAAGAACATCAATATTCATTAATTTTACACTCAAATATTTATTTCGAAATTTCGTTCTGAATGCGAAACGTTAAATTACTTTTTGATACAAATAAAAAACAAATTAGAAATTCATCACCTATTCATTCTATTGGTTAACCTTCAGTTGATTTTTTATTTATTATTTTCAGAATGATCACGTAATTACAAAATTACAAGAAGCGAAGCATATTTTTTAATCGGAGAAATTTTTTTAACATTTAATCATAATTTTTTTTCCTCTGTTCAATAATTTTAATTACGCTCCAAAACTCAATTTATAACTGTTTAAACAAATTTACCAATTTACCAGCAATTTGTTTTGAGGAAAAAATACTAAAATATTTCAAAACAATAGTTTTCCCTTAATGTATACACTGTACAAGAATTAATCACACAAAAAGACGATAAAAATTGTAAATATATTAAATAGTTGTCTAATTTAATAAATAAACGCCCTATCAAACGTTTTTTATTAATTAGCTAACATAATTATGTCGTGAAGCTTAATATTTGCACTTATATTATAACACCATATAGTCACATCAACCCCATATAATCATTTGTTATGTTAATTCGCTTTTTGTTATTAAAAGTAAGCATTAAAATATGGAAGAATCGCAATCAAAATATCCGAGAAATATACGAAACAAAATATTGCCTACGAATAAAAATGATGATAGTTTAAATATGATGAATAGTTTAAACAAGATAAAAAAACAAAATTATGAATTTGAAATATTTTATTAAAGGCTTGAATTTTAGCATCACCTTCAGCAATTAAGTATATTGCTATTTTTTTTAGTAATAGCACAGCAAGTAAAAAAAATAAATTTTAATGCAGTCTGGTACTAGATTTTTTCTCTGATTATTATTATGAAAAAAAAAATACAAATTAAAACAATAAAAAATAAAAAAATACTGAAACGTTACTGAGTCTAAATATGATAATATTTTGCAACTGCGAATAGAAATGCTTGATATGTTTTAAAAAAAGTTAAAAGTATTGATCAGTGAATAAAAAAAATCAACTTATGTTACATTCAGGACCAAGAAAAAGCCTTCAGTTACAAATCATTGCAGGAAATTTAAATAAAACTCTACATACCATGACATTAAAAAAAGAAGAAAAAATTAAGAAATAAATAATTTTTATGAAAGAAAATGTTACTGAAAGTAGAAGTCACATTAAAATTTTGACGAAAGGGTTTCATACTAGCGAATCAAAATTTTAAATTTATTTAAGATAATCTTAAATTATCTTAATATATTATCTTAAATTAAATTTATTTAAGATTATATNAATCCATTACTTAATATACTTGTCATATATATATCTATATATATATATATATATCAAATATGAGTTACAAATTTTTCAGCATAGAAAGGATATGAGAATGCATTAAACATAGAAACAATAAATTGAATTTAAATTCGCAGCAATAGAACATTTTATTAAATGGAACCTTTTGAAGCATCATAAAGAGATGTGCTTTGCGAGAGAGTTTTGAAAGATTATTTAAAATGACAGTTTGACAGGAAAAATTTCTCATTACCAGTGCGCATGTTACTCAAATATGACAAATAACTTAAAAAAAATAAATAAATAAAAACTCTAAAGCTTGCTGCATCGAAAATGTGGAATAAAATTGTTAGCAAAATAGCTGTAAATATTCATTCTACAAAATTTTCTTTTAAATATTTTTTTCCGATTCTATTTAACTATTAGAAGCGATTCTCGAGGAATTCTATAATTGATTTAACTTAGCAATAATTCCATCAAACATACAACGTAGGTGTTAGCTATTTGCAATGCAACGTAACATATTTGTTGACATAACCCAGTCTGTATTCTGACTGAAAGCGCATTTATCAACTGAAACAAATGCGTTCCGAATATTTTTTTCTATTTTAAAATAAAACCTAGTTTACCAAATTTAAAGCTAGTGTAGATGGTTTGAAGTAGAAATTTCTATATTAGTATATTATATAAATTATTTCTCTATTGTTTACATTTCAAACATTATAGATTCATATAATACTTAAAAATTGAGTTACTATTTTTTGTATGGAGGTGAATGGATTTTGAAAGTGAAATAAAATCAATACTTANTAGTATATTATATAAAGTATTTCTATATTGTTTACATTTCAAACATTATAGATTCATATAATACTTAAAAATTGAGTTACTGTTTTTTGTATAGAGGTGAATGGATTTTAAAAGTGAAATAAAATCAATACTTAAGGATGCGTGTCAGGAAAAGTTAATACGAAATGTGGGTATCAAATTTTGGTAGTTATCTAATTGGAGTCTTAATGTGTGTAAAAAGAAAGCAAAATTGATTTTTTAAGAACTGTACCACAATATTCACATTCAAATAGAAAAAGAAATATTTTACTATAATTTTTGATAAATAAATCTCTAAATGGTAAAAAAATGATGAAAATATTTAAAAAGACGAGGCAAGAATTAAGAGATTTGGACTAGCCTGGTTTTTATTTGCTTAATTTTTATTTAATATATATAATTTTTTTACTTGCAGTCATTTGCAAATTGTATCTAACATTAAACAATAAATTGATTACAATACATGCATCTGAAGGAAAATGCTTCTGACATGCATGTAAATAATAAAAAAATATCTTCACAAATATGCACCATGATTTTTATGTTATAAAACATGTTGTTACAAATTTGAAGTTTCGAATTGTATGATCACTATTGCAATTATTCAATAAGAAATATATTTCGATTATTTGTCACGAAAGTTTATCCAGAATAATTATATTATTTTGTTACTTGGTCTGAAAACTTAATTGGATTTAAAATTATCGAAACATTATACGTATCGAAAATAACAGTCAATATGTCTCAAGCGCTTAACGATAGGTGCTCATTTTCAAAATTTGCCAGACGTCAATGAAGAGAAACGAAAGTGATTTGAAATTTAAAACGTAAAGTTTCCATCAAAAATCATAAAATGAAGGTGGAAAGGAAAACTTAAAAAAATACCTTAACAGTTGAAAAAGAATAAAATAAAACAAATCAAAACGAAAAAAATCACTGCGTTTGAGGGGGGTAAAGCAGGATTAAATGCATTTCCACGCGATGTTGATGGACTGTGTCAAACTGATATCATATTTATTTTTATTCCTTCTCGGCTACTGAGAGTTTCATAGTTTTGTTTCCTACTTTAATTTTCCATTTTTGTTGACATTTTTACATTTTACATTTAATATCAGTTTTGTTTCTTCTCATTCCTGTCCGACATATGAGCGCCCATTTTTGAGCGCCTGAAACATGTCTACTGTTATCTCCAATCTGTATATTTTTAAAGTGAATTAATTTAATCAAGTAATATCATACTGCTTCAGTGTTTTAAGATTATTTATTTAATATATTATTCTGTACTTTTTTAAGAGTTATATTTGAATTTTGTAAAAAAAAATATTACATGATTTAACTCTATAAATTATTAGATCTTTCACGTGGGCAAACTATATTTTGCAAAAAATATTAACATGATTTAACTCTATAAATTATATAGTTTTTCGCATGGGCAAACTCTTTAATTCCGAAAAAGTAGCAAATTTAACTTTTTCGATGATGCTTCTAAAATGAGAAAAAAATATAGAGACAATAAAAATAAAACCAGAATTTTTTTTTCTGAAAAATATTCATGCGTAATCCTTTAAAAACAAATTTAACAAAATATAAATTTTAATAAAACTAGCATGTTGTAACCAATTTGGTTGTCTTGAAATCTTTAAGAATGAATTACTAATACATGGTAATTCAACTTACCATACAAACGAATAGAGCCTTCCGTTGAGCCAAGTGAGTTCTTAGCATAACATCGGTATGTGCCAAAATCTGAATGAACTAAACGATGAATTGTTAAAATCATGTGAACTTTGTACGTTGTAACTTTTTGAATGACGTCTGTCTTGGGGCTCTGAAGGACCATTTCCCCCTCCTCTCTCGTCCAGTAGTTGATTGATTCGGGATGAGCTTCAGTGTGACAATCAAGAGTAACTTTTCCACCAATTGGAGCACCGATTAGTTGGTTAGGAATCCATATCATCGGGGTAACTGCATTTCAAAATACGCATGTTATTAAATAACAATGATAAATTAAATTTTTATTAATAACTTGGTGAATTCTCATTCTTCGTACTAATGGAAAAAAAACGAAAGGATCAGCAAATCAGTATAGAACAATATTACAAAAAATCAGAAGGTTATGTACCGACTCAATTAATAAAGCTTAAGAAATTACAAAGTCTTATTTATTTATTATTATTCATATCCCTTCACGGTGATTCTACTTTATTAGATTTAGAGGAAACATGTTTTAGCAGCCCATCCTTTCAAAATAAAAATTAACTGTATTCAGTATTATCTGCCGAAGTCGTTGTTCAAATCCAACTCATGATATTTTAAATTTACCATAATTAAGCGACATTTTTTGTGTTATATTTTCGAGGGGCCGTAATAAATCTATTACCAAAGAATATATAATAAAGAGACACAGTATCTGTGCAGTTTCGATAGAAACCGAATTTACTCATGCAATACTTGGGAACTATATTAGGATATTTGGTACCAATTTGCACCAATTACCATAATATCAGCAGTGCATATACCAAAAATGAGTAAGCAAAAATTATGTCATTTCAGGTCTTATACGTTTCTCCCGAAAGAATTAAAACCATTTCTCCATAGATTTGGATTTTAATACGCAGCTAACGTTTTATTTAAAATTTCAATTAGCCTTTAGTATCAAAATTACTTGAGCATCCTTGGTTTCAAAAATCGCATGGAGACAATTTTAAACTTTTTTACAAATTAATTAGCGCAATTTCTTAACTAACTTTGACCTCTAGTGTTTTAAAATTCGAGTAAAATTTTAATTATTGAATGCTTTTTTTTAATTATTTTGATTTAAGTTTCATCTTTAAACATTTACCAATGACTGAATCAGAATTTAATGCAAGACATGTTTTTTTCAAAACGTGTAAAACATGTAAAAAAGAAATAAAAAAATGCACCAAATATATGAAATATTAAATGTAGCAAAATTCTCTTCATGCTTTATTATTACAGTAATACAGCACCAGTATTGTAAAAACGCAAGTTCCTAATACTAATTTTATTAACTCCGTTTACAACTATCATAGGTATTTATTTACTTTAAATATTTGATGTCTTAGAGTTTTTTCGCTAACAATTGTTAGCTTATTTTATTTCTAAACAAATAGTATTTAGATTTTAAAGTAAGTACATTTTGTTTTTTAAAAAAATAGCAAATATAAAAAAGAATTTTGTTACATCCATACATCTTTAATATACAATTTCTAATACACATCTATAATTATGTTTGTTTAAACAAAAATAAAATACTCAACTCTTGTAAATATGGAAGAGTTATGATCAAAACTACTGAAATGAATTGTAAGAAAATAAATGAAGTAGTAATGTCTCAAATGTTTGCAGTTGTTTTTCAAAAATTTAACTAATTACAATAATAGTTTTTTTTTAAAGAAAACACCCTGTTGAAACTCAGATAAATGTTCTTAGACAAAGCTATTTTGGCAAATATATTTCATGATTTAATAGAACAAAATTTTGCCAAGTCTGTCATTCCTTATATAGATATCAAAATGGTAGAAAAGAAAAGTTATCGAATCGTATATATCAGAGAATTTAGAAAAGAGTTTAGTTCTTTTTGCCACTGAATTTATGATATGGTTTTAAATTTTATTCTGTTCCGTTTTGCATCGAAAAGAAAAAGAATGACACTTGTACAAGACAGATCTAATGCATTACAAATTCGACAACTGCTCTTTAAAGAGTTACGAAATTCTGAATTCAGGTTTGAGCTGGAAGAAAAAGATTCTAATACATTTTGGATTCTGTTCCAAATCTAATAAATCTCACTGTACACATGCAACCTATATTCTTTTGGTTGTGATGGAGAAAGGCGTGTAAGTCAGTTGTTGTAAGATTCAAAAGCGTTTGAATGCTTCATTTAGTCAAACATTTATTTGAAAGAGTGTTTAAAATTGCATCTGTTTTCAATTGAAACAAAACTTCGTAATTAAGAATTCAATGGACTTAGTAAACATTACAATCATGCTTTTAATTCACTGAAAATTAAATTTTAAACTTATTCGAAAATATACGAATTTGCTTATTTCTAAAACACATTTTTATAGAGCTTGTGGAAATAAACTGTAAATATTATCTGTTATTTCGAAATTTATCATTTCTTAAAAAATTACATAAGATCTTTATAGACACTGAAGAAGCTGATTGGTTCACCTGTGTATAATCGCATATTTTTTATTTACAATGATCTGCACAAGTGCGCACACATGAACAGACCTAGTGCGTTCTCCAGAAGTGCTATCCACTCTTTCAGAGCCACCACAATGGGTAAGAAACCGTTGGCCATGTTAATTTGGACGTCTAGTTTCTGCCACACTAGATGGCAGCACCGAGACTCTTATTTAGAGCTATAATCGTATATAAAACCACAAATATGCAAAATATAGAAACACTATCTGACATGGACTCTATTAATGTCTGAAGTTATTGTATATGCAATTCACAATGTGAGGTGATCTCATATGCGCTAATTAATTAGAACAGACGATATTTTAAGATGCGAAATCGGACACAAAAGCGTACTTTCTCTGAATAAACATATCTTTTTTTCGACGGATTCGTATTTTTGACCCTCAAAATCTAAGAGTATTCACAATCTGAGAAATATGGTCCCAATAATTTGGTCAAAAGACTTGTTCAAAGCTTAGGCCCCTAATATTAATTTTATTTTTTGCGATTATCGCCATATATCGGGAACGTTTGAAGCGAGTTGAAAAATTTTTAATCCACAATTATAAATTCGTTTTGTCAAAGATAATGCCATACAGAAAATAATTTTTAGTAAATATTTGTTATTTTTTATTATTTTATATAATAAAATTGAAAAAAATTTAATTGTACGGTATGCATAATTTTAAAAAATTTATTTTTACATGAAAAATACAAAATTTGAGTGAAATCGGTCGAATAGTTTCTAAGAAATTGAATTTTAAAACAGTCAAGTATTTAAAACTCGATTTCTCAGGAACTATTTGACTGATTTCGCGCAAATTTTGTATTCTGTCACTCAAAAATGCATACTTCAAAATGATGTGAAAAACGGTATACTTTAAAATTTGAACTTTCTTTGTCTGTCATTTTATAAATAGATAAAAAAATATTTAAAAAAAATTATTTTTGCATGGAATTGTCTTAGCAAATACATATTCCATAATTGTATGCAAAGAATTTTCAATTCACTTAAAAAGATCTATATGGCTTAATACGCAAAAAGTAAAATTGGTTCCAAACCTCCTGACCACACAATTCAGACCATATCTCTCAGATAGTGGCTACTCCATATATTTTGGGGGTCAGAAATCATAATCCGTTGAGAAAAAGGTTTTTTTCAGGGAAAATAAGTTTTTGTGTCTGATTTCATAACTTAAAATATCGTCTGCAGTAATGAGTCAGTATATTTGTGGTCACTCCATCGAACCATTAAATTGAGACCTTAAACATGAAAATCCTCTAAATGGATCAAAAGTTAGTCAGGATGGTTCATTTTCGCAATTAACGAGAAGATGCCATTGCAACAATTTTCTGATGTTTATAAATCTGTTTTGCTGTGCTGTAAAAAAAAAAAGAGACTTAGATCATTACTTTTTTCTTAGTATGAGAGCGAGAGTTTTAATCGATTCATCTCATGTAAGCAAACAATAGCTGGAAAGAAATACGCTTCTTGTAAATATATAATAGCGGAGATAAAACAATACACAAAAAATTTAAATGTAAGAAATCAGACACTATAGACGCAAAAACACCAGACATGGTAGACTTATACAAACCAGACTTACATATCATAGAATCTGTTATAAAAATGCCTTACTCTGATTGGTTGCGCACCTTATTACGTGATAAAATACATAAGATTAAACTAGTTTTTTATGGTTTTCGAATATGATTTTGTATGATCAGGAACATGGTTAGATGACATTCTAACCACAGTTATTAAAATATAGAGCTCTACTACACCAAGATTTCATGTAACCTCCACAATGCAATCAGCAATATCATTGTAATCAAGATGTAACTCCGTTTAGAATAACAATACTATTATGTTGCCAAGTTCTATTTTAGTTTCTTTCACAGCATATCAGACCGCCTCAAAGACATAATAAAAGAAATTGAGTTAGTAACCTTTTGAGTTAATGAAGCATTAACAATGTATCGTAGATCGTAAAATCATATGTTTCGAACAAACTTTCCTCGAGTTGTCTCACATTTTTTTTCCTATTTATATTAACGACGAAACATAATAAGTATGATTTCCATTTTTGCTACATGATTATACTAAATTTTTATGCTATAAACTATTTATTTTATTTTATATTATATCTGTAGTTAAACAACTGACCCAATTCTGAATTTACGACTATCAATGTTCAATCAACTACGTAGTATTGTAATTTTGAACCAAACCCAGAAGACAAAGAATCCCGTGGATCAAGCATTAGGACAAACTGGCCTTCGAGGTAGAATTTCGTATGAAATTAACCCGCATCGAGAGGACAACGTGAAAACCTCCCACGGTTATCACGACGGCAAGGGTATTTTAACCCATGATCCGTCTACGACTGAAGACGCTCGACTTAACGCTAGCACTGCGGTCAGTGCAAGTGGGTGCAGAATTTGTAACAACTAACCACTACTTGGATTCGAACTTTCGTTCCTTCATCGGGCGGTAAAGGCTCGATCCAATGAGCAATCTGCTGCTTGCCATAAACTATTTAACAAATGTCGTTAAAGAATGTTAAATAATCTGACTTTTATAGAAAAAAAAATTAATAATTTTTTTTTCTCCATCAGATTAAAAGCACTGTCCGTCGAAGATAATTAGATAACAAAGGTAAGCTGCTTCGAGTGTCAAAAAAAGTAGAATATTTCTTGAGAATGATTAGTGTATTGTGTAATGTAAAAATAATGATGTAACTGTTTAATGG